GGCCTATATAAGGAATGGCTGTTGTCTTTATTTATAATGAGAAAATTATTTATCAAAATATATAATTTAATTTGTTTTTATTTTTGTATAGCTTCATGGGTCAAATTTGGCCCGCGGGCCACCTATTAAGAACCATGGTCCTACACGTTTGGAGTCCATAGGCGGTGGGCCTTACCCACCATAACCAGAACCAGTTAACCATATCAATCAATTTTTAGTAACGCGTCAGTGAATTAAATGTTCACGTAGATACTGTACTTACCTGACTGCGTGCGTGTTTGATGCTCTGACAACTGCAGTTTCAGTCACATAATCAACATTGGTTGTGACAATGAACGCGCAAGACCGCACGCGCCGCCAAAGCTTTTGGTGAATTGAATCTCAAACGAGATAACGAAAGCTCTCTAAATTGAAGACTAAAGTTACTGCATGATTGTTTTATATTTTTAAGAAAATTAATTTATTCTAATTTTTATTATATTTTCCCTGCATTCGTGATTATTCTTCGTCATGCGTAGACTAAATGCGTGACAAATTTAGGATCACGCATGAGTTTCTGCCAAATGTGTGTTACATCCAAAATCACTTTGAAATGCGGGACCGTCCTGCACGATGCGAGACGGTTGGTAACGCATTTTGTAAGCCAGGACCCAATACTATTTTGTTAAGTTTCTTCACACTGATGCTGATTGGTCAGTGGAATCGGGAAGCGTTCCCGATTGCGTTGGGGACAGCTACGCAGCGCAAGGATTGCATTGAAAACGCTGTACTAGCGACTGTGTAGCGATTGTATGGAAACGGAGCTTGATTCTGATTGGTCGGTCTGGTAAGGGAGCCTTCCCGATTGCGTCGTCAGGGACTGATACGCAATACAACGATTGCACTGAAAACACTGTAGCGACAGTGTAGCGATTTTATGGAAACCAGACTTTACATGGCTCACCATAAGACACAATTAAAAGACAACGGCCATGATTATGAACAAGGACAAAAACTAGAAATTAACAGAGAAATGGAAGAAGCTAATCAGTGATAAGTGACCAGTAGGCCTATGGGTTGCAAAACCAGGTCTAATAAAAACTGAAGAGAGAGACCCGTCTTCCTTAGTTTTATTTAACGCACCCGTGCGTCTAATACTCCCAAGCAGAATCAATCCGAAAATACCTTAATCGATTTTTCTTAAACTCTGCTATCCAAGCAATCCTCACTACAGTATATTGAATAATAAAGACCAGCTTGATCACAAACACGAACATTACTTTGTCTTACTTTCCTATAAAAAAATTATTAATGATTGCTTTAAGTATATTTTATTTAATACACGTCGACCACATCTAACTTTAAGTACTGTATAGAATTGCAAGTGGTCCGACGATTGCTCTGATTTTGTATGCACGTAATGCAACGTTAAAAAATGTTCTGCTAAATAGGGGACGCCATATTAGAACCCGAATCGAGTTCGCTCGAAACTCGTCTTTTAAGGACAATCCCCTTCTTAGCAGTTCAAAAAGTACTGCCAAAAAGGACAGTACGCCCCTTCTTGGCAGTACTTTTTAAAACAGGATTACGTTCCCACGAAACCACGACAGTCGGACCTCTTGCATTTGTATATTCTTTGAAGCAATGCACTTCACTATCAGGGGCGGATCCAGATTTGTCCGAAAGGGTGGGGGAGGCGAAAGTGGGGCCGATCGAGGTAACACTATCCTAGGGATTCGCGAAAATTTGGTGTTCTAGACGCCCGAAAATAACCTCTGAGGCGCTTTGGGCGATCATTTTTTTTTCTTTTTCTTTCTTTCTTTTCTTTTCTTTTCTTTTCTTTTCTTTTCTTCTCTTCTCTTTATTTTTTTTTTGTTTCTTTAGGACGTACTATTCGTCCAGGGACCTGTTCCCTTTTTTACATCATAGTCTCTTATTTGAGTTAAATAAAATTATGAATTATGAATAGTTAGTGTTCAATGGATTGGATTGGATTAAATTTATCGGTGTAAACACCAAGGACAGCCGACGAAAGTCTAGAAGAAAACTTATTATCAGTGGGGTCCTTCTGGTGTGATTGGTCAGTACACCGGGAGACAATCCCCTACTCTTTTCCGAAGAGTATACTGCGTTCTTGAACGTGCACATGAGCCACAAATACTCACGGGACCAACGGCTTAAACGTCTCATCCGAAAGATGGTGGACTATTTAACTTATATTTCAGCCCTCCAGTTGAAACACAAGGAGAGGCAGCGATGGGGGTCAAGGAGTCGGAGGCCCTTCAAAAATAATGTCCAGATACTCCATCGAAGTCCCTCCCTGACCCCCTTCTATTCCGAATTCCATTCGCCCTGTGTTAATAAAATATGCTGTATGCCATAGCTACGCACCACGCAATAAAACTCAGCTTAGCATTTAGTGGTCGCCCATTAATTCCTTTATTTTCCCTTGTATAGCAATAAAGTTCAAGGGTGAATATGGATAGAATTTTCCAATTGTGGATTTCATTTTTTTTTTCTGTTGGGCGTTGAAGCTGACTCTTTTTGTTCCAAATGGAATGACCTAGATAATGAACTTTGCTTTTTTATGATGAATGATTTATATAAACATTCGGTAATTCAAACGAGCACTTAAATCAAATTTGTTTGAGTAAATTTCAAGATTTAGGATATTAGATACATGAATGGTAAGAAACGATAGCGATAGAGACTTGGTTGAAATAGGCCTACAAAGCACAAATGTACCGTATACAGTATAAAGG